TTTAAAATCGTAGTTATGTGTCTAGATTTTCGAGACGGTCTATTTCGAGATCCAAAGGTCACTCCACTACCCGAAAATACAAAATGGGCGTGACGAGTAAAAAATTTGAATTGGAGAATGCCGCGTCCGCCGCTATAAATACACGTGGACTATTTCCATTTGTCTTCGCTTAATGGCACGATAAACATCTCAAGATCGCAATAAAATTTTGGCAAAATATCGATCTTGTCAATCCCAATTTTGTCCATATCTTACGCAACATTTTATAAATACCGCAGCACATTACAATTTAAATGATTCATAAACGTTACTATTCATTTGCCGATTAATTGATGACCTTAAATATGACAGATCGATTGCGAAACGACGGAATAGTACACGATACCACAAATCAATCATACTGAAAGAAAAGAGCTACTTTCGGCTTTAGACACGCATACTTCTTTACATCCCGACGGGATGTCGTGCGGATTTTTTACGACGTCACACGCCAGTGGAATTGCCGGAAACATGTGACATTCTTACGAAATTCATATCTTTTGCGTAAAGAGATAAGAATTTATAATCTGACATTGACCATATGATTAAAGTCGTAATCTGTACTTAAATATAATTAAACGATGCAAAAATGGGCAATGAAGTATGTACAAACAATAATGGAGTAAAAAAAATTGTGTGGAACCCTCAAGTGTAGACATTTCAGTTATGAGGGTTGCCTAAACAGTATGTTCTTTTTTTGTTACTAATGTTGACATTCTACTTTTAAAAGTCGCGGAAACGCGTCTCTTCAGTGTACAAAACAGATCAAATATGAAAAACTTGGGACCCACAACTGATCCCTGTGGAACACACCATACACCATATCGTACTAATGATTCGGACCCTTTTTTTTAAATAAAAGTAAAATGAGTGCCCTATTTTGAATTTCGAATAACTAAAGAAATTAATTCATGCAAAGAAAAAATGTTTCATGTTTTAAAAATTGTTTTTAATGCAGTTAATGTCTACTTAATGCATGTTTAATGAAGTATATGAAAATTGAATGCAGCCGATAACAGTTTAATGTCATTTTAATACAATTAATTTATGTAATCATTTTAATGTGGAAAGAAGAAAGGGCAGATCCAAAAAATTGTGTGCTTAAAGACGTAAATTTTGAGATTTTGGGGCCCTAAACGACCCATTCTGCATTTTTATCACCTTAGAAAAATCATTTGGTCCCCTCCAACACAAGAATATTATATCTCTGGTCAGATCAATTCGTCCAAGGAAGAAAGGCCAAAAAAGAGTGTTAGAACCAGGGTTAGAACTTTTACACATCTAGCTGACAACATTAGTTAAGTATGCTTTATAATACGGGCCGTATTATGGCAATCGTTGCCATTTTGATTTCAATAAAAAGCGGGAAATTTGAATTTTAGTGGCTACACAATTGAGTCGACATCAGAATGAGGCATTTGTGTGCCCCTCTCAAATACGAAATTTACTATCCAGTGCCCAATGACGAATTTTGACCACCTATATCTTGAAAAAGGAGATCTCGGAATATTTCGAAAATTCTACAGTACAAGTACTAAGGTTGATTTTGATGCCAATTTGTTTATTTTAATGGAACACGTGTATTTACACGTTAATTAGATACAGGAATTTAGAAATTTCAATCCGGCCAATTGAGTAAGTGTAAATGTTACAGTAAACGTTATCGAAATCAGTCGTGTGAGGTGTCCCTGGAGACGTTCTAATTTTTCCAGATGTTTCTAAGTTGTCCCCAATTTTTGTGATGACCTGAGGCCGAGAAATAAATTAAAGAAGTTTTAATTTTTTAATGTAGATGACCAAATACACTGTGTAGCCGAATTTTATAAAAAGTAAAGCCGTTATTTAGAGGGGATCTTTCTTCCATTTAATCTGGTAGTTACCCAACAGTGCAACTTAAGGGTAAGCCGCAAAGGTGTTTCTATATTATATCATGATATAATGCAATTATTTTAATTTTTTTTAATTTTAATTAATTTTAAATAAATTGTGCGCAGTGGCCTAACAAAAAAAAGGGGGAGTTGAGGCAACCATCTCCGAATAAGCCTACAGAGGCGTGTTCTTTAAAGACTTACAAGTGTCCTATTATGAGTTTTTCTAATATTTTAAGAAATTAACTAAACCCGGCAAAATTCAGTGGCGTAACAAGACGAGTGAAGATGAAACAACCGTCTCCGCAAATCTATACAGGTGTCTTATTTAAGAGGAAAAAGAAGACATGTCCGATTTGCAATCCAGGTGTTTTTTTTTGTAAAAAGATGGTTCAGGATCCACTACTGATCCCCATGTTACCACTAAGGATTACATTTCTGTGCAAAAAACAAGTGAGATACAACCAAATATGATTCAGGACGCCTGTGGAGCAAACTATACCATAGTTACCATTAATGATGATGTTTATAGTCAGCAGATGGCATTCTACTCTCAATAGCGGCAAAAACTTAACGCTTCACTGCATAAAACAGGTCAGAAACAAAAAAGATATGATTTAGGACACAAGAATGACCCTTGCAGACCACACAGTTACCACTAATGGTGATGTCAGCAGATGGCATTTTACTCTCGGAAGCAGCAAAAATTTAACGCTTCTGTGCATAAATAAAACAGGTCAGAAACAAAAAAAAAGACATAATTTAGGACCCAAGAATGATCCTTGTGGAGCACACTATACCATAGTTATTACTATGTTATTTTACCCTTACCGCCAACCTAAATGTAATGCTTCAGTGCAGAAAACAAGTTAGATACAATGAAAATGATTCAGATCCTTAAAATCATATGAAAATAGCTACATTTTCTAAACAGCTGACCTTGATAACTTGATCGGATCTCTACGAAAAAACAATAATTTTGCGGAGTATTTTGAATATAAAAGTGAAACAAAACAATATGGTTGAAATCTGGCAACACTGTCTTAAGCTTATAAGTACAGCTTACATTTGCTGCAAAACCAAACTTAGTGACTTCATTCGATCTGTATGTAAAAAAAATTTTCTATTGTGAAAAAAACGTCAAAATTGTGGGTTTTTAATTATTTTGTGGACTGTTTCTAGTATAAAAATGAAATATCGCGACATGTGGCTCTGTTCAAAAGCTGTAAATCAATATCGCCGATTTGAATTATATCTAGAAACGGTCATAATAATTCAAAAATCCGTAAACAAGCGCTATTTTTGCAATGAAATTGTTTCTTCATAATAATCCGCTCACCCAGACCAGTTTTACAGGTAACTGTTGCCAGATTTTAACTACATCACTTTGTTTCATTTTTACACTTGAAAAAGTTATAGTAATTTAAAAAAAAAAACCAATTTTGGTGTTTTTTTACAAAAAAATTGTTTGGACCCCTAAATCGTTGACAAATTTTGGTTTGGTCCCAAAAAAACCCCAAAACATGCCCCAAGACTGATCCCTGTGGAGCACACTACACCATTGCCATTAAGCTGACAAAAAAAACCTGATTTGGGACTAGTTCAAATGTTCATATTTATAATCACCTGTTAGCATTTTATTCTTAACAACAGCTACACCATAGTCACCTTGATATTTGAGGGTTAGGTGAGTCCATTGAAATAACTTTCAACCACTACACCTAAGAAAGTGTATCAGTATCTTGATTATGTTTCTATGCGCCTTCAGAACCTCCATATTTTGGTATCAGAAGAACAAAAAGTGCAAGTCGGAAGAATCCATTGTTTTTTTAGAAACTTTTTGTTACTATCGCAATAGTCGCCATTTTTGTTTCAATAAAAGGTGGGAAATTTGAATTTTAATTTCAATTATCTTGTCAGTGACAAACGATATAGAGTACCCAGGTTCCTGTGCATGGAAAAAAACATGCAATTAAGAAATTGAAGTCCAAGGCAAACATTGCATTGATAAAGTGCCAAGTACTAAACCCTATTATTCATTTTGTAATTACTTAGCGTTTTAATTTAATTTGAGTATCATTTTCAAATGCGATATACACCGCTCTATGGCAAAACAATTAAGAATCGCCTTTGTTTATTCATTTATAAATGGATAAACAAAGTTATCACTAACTGTGCCAATTTTTTTTGCATATGTGGTTGTAACAAAGACTGGAATACACAAAATTAATTATGTTTTGGGTATTTTCTTCATTGTTAAACGAGTTGTTAAATGTTATGGGATTCTTCACTTATGTTAGTGATAAAATTTATTTTTAAAAAAAATTACAATTTCTTTGTTTTTGTTCTGCAGATGAACATATTTAAAAAATACTACCTACCTCATACTAGTTCAGTAAATTAAATTTTTTTTCGCAATAAACTTATTGCTTGTATACTTAAAACCTAGCTGGAAGGAGGCCTTTATTATTGATTCATTGACATTATATAACATAAAACCTAGTGGTACACCATGAGTAAAATTTAAAAAAAATTCTGTATAGCTCATGATCAAATAAAAACAAATCGACTAGAGTCAATGACATAACATAAATATTATTGAAATACATTGCTCGGTTATCTAAATTAATCACTTTTTTTTCTAATACTCGTGTCAGCAATTGATTACAATTGGATTGGCCTTATAAGCAATTGGTTTCGAGCAATTATTACGCACAACTATCAGCACTATATCGAATAAAGTTTAGGTCTACTCTTCAATTTAACACGGTAGTTAGCAGTGCCACTCACGGGTAAACCGCATAGGTGTTTCTATATATAAAATGCTATAGTCATAATTAACTCGAAATCGGGTAATAATCACAGATTAGATATTTAATAGGAACTCGTGGTCGCATATAAATTTTAAATGAGAAGTAGGTAACGATAACAACAACCAATATTTTTGATGTTTTTACAATCGTTTGGCAAATTTTGAGGAAACCCGGGCCAAACGAAACAATATTTTAAATAGCCTATCCACGCAAACAAATAAGTTTATTTTAAGTAATAAACATAGAGTTGTTATGATTGTTGTAATAACGAAAGGCTTACCTTGTTCGTCGTTGAGATCGCTGAATTTGATTCCACCACTGCAAAACAACGAAAACATTTAAGCGAATCGTATAGTTACAGAATGAAGTAAAAAAAATTTGCCGAACTGACTTGCTTATTATTTAAAAATTTTCATTTGATGAGATTTGCATTATACTTAAATAAAATATACCTACCTGAGCAGCACGGAGGCCGTCTCAGGCACGCGGAATACCTGCAAACAAGGGATGCAGTTCCAAATAATGCTTAAAGCCTACCCATATCCCCACAAAAATTTCGCTCAAATTACCAAAACCAGTTAAGTGTAATCTCGAAATTAAAGACTGCGTCTCTTACCTTCCATCCCAAATTTTCGAAAAACGTGCAGAGGCGAGATTGTCCCGTAGTTTTACCGCCACATGGCCCTAAAATTACAAAGGTATTAATTAGGAACATCATCAGTTTAAAAGGCTTTAGCGGACGGCTTACTTACCCCCTGTAAGTACTAATTTATAAACTTTCTTATTATCGTTGTTGCTCTCCATTCTGAACCGGGAAACGAAATAATTTGGAAAAATAAATTATTAATAATTTATTACACTAATAATGGAATAATAAGAAACATTATAAAAAATATATTGAGGAACCCATCGCCGTAGGTATTTTTAATTTGCGCGCAAAGCGATTTACCACGCGTTCACGAGATAAAACTCGCTCACCACCCTCCGACGGCGAAAATAATGGATCGAAAATGTCATCGGAAAGTCCCACCACGAGCTGGAAAAGTCACTAGAAATGGTAGGGGGTTTGGGGACTTTTTCGTTTCGTCACCAAACATCCCACAGTAACGCAAAAGGAGCGACACTTTAGACTTTAAGATCTTGAATCTAATCAATTGGTTAAAATTCAAAATCTGTCCAATGAAATTAATCAATTTTCTCAGATTAAATAAACATTGTACAATCTAGCCCACGTATTATTAGCATTGTGCGTATTCTGCACCTAAATGCCTAAAACTAGGCAACCCGCACAACAGATTTTCGTACGACACACGCACAAATAAAATAGGGTATTTTATCTGTGATACGGGGTTCCCATTCAAAACAAACCACCGACTGTAAGGCCGCCGTTGTTTTTATTTCCTTAGGTAGTTGTGCTTTAGATATGTGCAGTGCAGGCACCCATCGGCTTCGGTCGCCATCCCCTCGTGTTCAAATTCTGAAATCCAGACTGGTAACTTCTCAATCAAAAGTTATAGACTAGAAACCAATTTCGAAAGAAAATTCAAAGGGCTGTAACTTTTGAACTAGGAGCCCAATCTTGGAACTGTTCGAAATTATGGATTCTACAGGTCACATTCTATAAGAAAATTTTTTTTCCGGTTCGATCTGAGACAATTTTTTTTTCGGGGCTCAAAAAAAGGCAGTGTATAACCTTCCCTTTTACCAAAAATCAACTGCACCAAAATTTCTCGGGAAAACACTTTTTCTTATTAATTTTGGTGCGTAGAATCCAAAACGATTCGTACTTTTTCGATCAGACTTCTCAATCAAAAGTTATTGACTAGAAACCAATTTCGAAAAAAAATTCAAAGGGCTGTAACTTTTGAACTAGTAGCCCAATCTTGGAACTGTTTGAAATTATGGATTCTACAGGCCACATTCTAAAAGAAAATTTTTTTCCGGTTCGATCTGAGACAATTTTTTTTTTCGGGGCTCAGAAAAAGGCAGCTTCCTTTTTTACCAAAAATCGACTGCATCAAAATTTCTCGGGAAAACACTTTTTCTTATTAATTTTGGTGCGTAGAACCCAAAACAATTCGTACTTTTTCGATCAGACTTCTCAATCAAAAGTTATAGACTAGAAACCAATTTCGAAAGAAAAATCAAAGGGCTGTAACTTTTGAACTAGTAGCCCAATCTTGGAACTGTTTGAAATTATGGATTCTACAGGCCACATTCTATAAGAACATTTTTCCGGATCGATTTGAGACAAATTTTTGTTCGGGGCTCAAAAAAAGGCAGTGTATAACCTTCCTTTTTTACAAAAAATCGACTGCACCAAAATTTCTCGGGAAATCACTTTTTCTTATTAATTTTGGTGCGTAGAATCCAAAACAATTCGTACTTTTTCGATCAGACTTCTGTGGTAGCGACGAAAGTCGTTGCCGTGGACCAACCTACCTAGTCAAGGTGTTAGCAACCCTGCCGAGGACTACGTGACACTGGGGTACAGCGTCGATAACCGTGCCCCTTGGATACTGGGCTACCTCCTTCGGGAAGCGGCTGGCAGCCAAGCCCTGGATACGTGGCGCTGTCCATGTGAGACCTCATTACTCGTGGGAATTGTATGGACGATTTCAAACCACAGAAACCCTTTCTGGACTCCTCCATCAAAAGGGGGTCCGGTAACGGAGCAGGTTCCTCGAGAGTAAAGCCCCCGAGGCGGATTCTGCGCCAAAGCCTAAGGCGGTGGGGGTGTCTGGGCCGGCGGTCCAGGAGGACACCCCGACGTCAGGGATCAAAGCGTCTCAGATCGGAGGGATGCACTATCCAGGGTCCTGGTTCAAGGCAGCCCAAGAAGAAGCACTCTAAGCTGCAGATCCACGACGAACCTATGGGCAAGTCGCTGGCTGTGGGGCCATAATAAGGGTGGCCTTTGTTTCGGGGTCGCAGTGAACATCACTGACCCTCAGTCGAAGTGAATTACGGATGCATTGAATACAGTTGTTAACGAGATGGGTGAGGGGGCATTCTCACGGCTGGCACTCTGGCAGACTTCCGCTGGAATCGGCATGGCGCCATTGTAGTCGAATGCGAAGACCAGTGGTCCTGGACTGGGCTGGTTGGAGAGGACTGTCGCTCTTATTAGGCCCTGGAATGGAGCGCCCCAGAATGTGTAGAGGCACGTTTCTAGGGTAACTAAGGTGATGGCTGTGTTATACGGGCTCGTGAACTAGAAAGCGCCTCTTACCCAATGCCGCATATGTTTGGCGCCGAAAAAGTGCAATAAATCATTTGAACTACTTTCAATACCAAGAAATTACCAGAAAGTAAAGAGTACAAGTAGCTCAATTCATCTATTGCTTACCAATTTAAAGATTCAAATAGTAGCAGGTGTGCAATACGGCTCTTGGTCAAGAATTAGTCATGTTTTAGTTCTTCTTAAAAAGAATAATTTTAGGCGCTTTGATTTTAGGTGAAATGTACCATCATTCATTTTTTGCGCGCCAAGTTTCCATTTCCATGAACAAACATAACCACAAAATTGTCAAAAACCGTGGGGAAGTATGTCCGACGAAAATCTAAGAGAAGTTGTAAATGGTGCAATGTTACCACAATATAATGGAAAAAGGGTGAGCATTACTGGTCTCGTGACAAAAGTGAATCCCAACGGTATCACCTTTGATATTAGAGCCACCGATGATTCTATAGTGAAGGTGAACCTTCGAAAACCTCATAGCGGTAATTTAGAAGGGCATGTGGAGGTATGTATAGTATCAATTCAATTTTTTACTGATCTTCAATATTTAGGTTCACGGTACGGCAGTATCCGGATCTACAGTTATATGCGATGAGCTTATTGAATATCCGTCCGAAGCATCGGATGACTTTGATGCTACCAGCCACAATACGCTATGCCAGTTACTACAATCTGTTCCGAATCTGTGGAAAACTACAGCCTAATGCTTTACTGTGTAATTTAATAAAAATGTGATCATAAAAAACCTGTGCTTACTTAATTCTTTATAGAACAATAAATTTAAAAAGGAATCTTAAAAATAGCTCTATGTTCTATGTATATATTTGAATTAGTGAGCCGGCACTATTGCAGTAATTACAGAATGTTTTCTTTTTGGGTTCAATTGCAATCCTAAATCCCTGATTTTAAGTTGAGAAAACTTTAAATCAGAATCAATAATTGTGTTGCCAGATCTGATAATCACTTATAAAGGAGAAGTGAGACAATTATAGGAGATTAAGAAATACCTAATATAGGAGACATATATTTTATTCCAGAACTTATTACATCCATTAGGTATAATAATATAAGAACGAAAGCAGACTTTGTCCATAGGTGGCAATTGCTCCAAAAGCAAAATACTCTCCCAACCTTGCAGCTGGCCCAAGAACAAGTGCGGTTACAAAATCATAGGTAATAAGTCTCGGCAGTAATTTGTATCAGGAGAATATATGGGTAGAAATTTCTTCTACTGGTACATAGAGAATCCCAGAGATGGCTATGAAGAGACTAAATAAAGGATAACATGAAATCTTGTTGGAATTAAACTATTCATAAATAATGAATTGCAGTTACATGCAGTGAGAGCAAGATGACAGGATAACATAAGTGAAAGAACTGAACTTAAGAATGCACAGAAAGTAGGTAGCTATACCATTATTTAGTTATAAAAATCGTTGGATGAAGACTGAAAATATAGATCTCTGCTCTAAACAGACTATTATCTTTGGCCACCAAGCGAACATAACCAAGAGATTTTTCCCTAACCACAGAATGTCTTTAAACTTTGTATCAGGAGAATATATCTAAGGATTAACACATAGTCTTTGGCTACCAGGAGAACTATGATCTTTCACATTAGGATGAACGTTTCATCGCTTTATTTTCGCTAAAATTTGTGAATTTTTGTTAACAGGCGAATGTAATGTACAAGGAAGTAATCTTGCTCTTAACAAATCACTCAGAAAAATGTAAACTTTATGGTTCTTAGGAGATGTATTTGCACAACAAATGGGAATTTTATTTTATTCTGTCTCAATCACAAATTTTAAACATGTTAGCCCTAAATTGTGGGTAAATCACAATGTCAGTGAACACATCTTAGAAGAAGTTGTGGGAAACTTGAACACTTGAAAAGCTTAAAAAAAAGAAATAATTACAAATTTGTCTCTATTTACTCTAAACCATATAATTTTAACGTTCTATCCATTGAAGTGGATGCGATGTAATGCGCATGACGTCCAAACCTGACACCAGTCGCTGCTGCTGTATGGTCATTGAAAACTTTCAACTCTTGCCATTGCTTGCAGAGGTAAATCCTACAAAAAAGGTTCAAATAGCTCAAATGGCGTATCTTTAGGTAGAAGTCTCACCTGACATCGGTACCCGCTATAGCTAAATAGGTACCACTCTGATCGAAGCACAAATCTTTAATTTGGTACCCCTCGTCCAACTGCAAAGTTCTGAAATTCTTCAGCTTGCGCAAATCCCACAATTTAACGCAAGCGTCGTCCGCGGCCGTTGCTAAGTAATAACCGTTTTCAGAGAACGAAATGGAAGTGATCGCCCCCGAATGTCCCGTAAAGTTAGCAACGTTCGCCTGCTCCTTGAGATCCCAAATTTTAATTTCAGAATTCGCCGTACCAGTCCCGAAAATTAGACCGTCAGGATGAAACTGGGCGGTGGTCAGGGCGACATTCGCCTGATCGGCAACCTTTGTTAATAGACGGCCCGTGCGTATATCCGAAAATGCCCAATGTTGATCCTCGGAAGTCGATAGGACATAGTCGCCGGTCGGATGTAGCGAAAGTCCAGTAACCGCGGCGTCGTGAGCACGTAGCAGCAACGTTGTCTGCGAAGTGGGAACGTTCCAGATGCGTATCGTCGAATCTGGCGAGGCTGTGATGACCAAATCTTCGTCGGGATGGTAAATTACTCGAGTTACTTTTTTTGTATGGCCTTTTAGAATTGCCACCACCTGCTCTGTGTCTTTATTGAAAACAGTGGCGTTACGGTCGTTACCACCTGTTAATATTTTGCTTGTATCTGAAGCGTGAATGTCGAGTGCCAATATACCGGGAACACTCGCCGAATGTAAACCCTAAAAGCGGGCTATAAAAAAAGCACAGCTGATAAGATCCACAAAGTTGACAATACCCATTTAGCAAAATAGAAAATGTGCTATTTATTGTTACCAATTAAAATTTTTGTGCTATTCCATGTAGATAAAAAAAGCAAGTGAGCACAGCCAACTTCATTAAACAGGCTTGGGACAAGTAACATTGTGCTATTTATTGTCAAGAACACATTTCTTGTGCTCTCATACAATACCCGCCAATTTATTTTGTTAGTATTAGCACAGATATACACAAACGACTGCCACTGCTTGAGGAAGTTATTAAACCCACTTATTTTTTTGATCTTCCTGAAGGAACATCACAAAATTTTTAAATTGAATAGCACAAAATTATAGTGTTAACACTTCTCTCTACCTATATGGGTATTCCTAACTTCAGAGACCACAACCAATAATATTAAACCCACCGGATGGGATGCCAATGTTCGGAATGCACGTAAGTCGTCCTGCGACACCAACTCCTCAGGTACTGTACGACCACGCTTCTTTCGTTCGAGCGTCAATACTGTGGCCTTCTCTTGCAGTTTTTGTATAACCTCCGCACTCATGCCCGCCTGTTCGGTTGGCTGATTCGCGATACCCGCAGCTTCGGCCGCAAGTGCCTGCAAACGGCCTTGAAAACACTAAACGGCGATTAACCGACTTACCGGTTGCGGCACTGTCGTAATTCCGGCCTGTGGTTTGAGCGTGGCCAAGGCCTCTCTCGCAGCCGTCACCTCCTTATTGAGACGCGCTATCACACGACATGCGGCGTCGTGTTGGTAAAGCGCGTGGCTCAACTCTTGTCGTGCCGTTTGCAACTGCTGACGTTGTGTGAAACTGTACAGCATGACCGCGTCCCACTCATCTTGTAGCAACTTTAACGTAGCCGGAATGCTGGTGGCACTTGGTGGTTTCGGTTTTACAATTGGAGGTGCTAAAATCGACAGCTAAATAAAACTACCCCCAAATCGCTCACCCACTTTTAATTTCAATTAACTCCTCAACAGTCAACTCTTTGCCACTTATAGGATCTATACCATTTTCTATTATGTATTTTTCTATTATTCTCCTTTCAAAAATAGCACCCGAGGAGGGTGATATCACTGGATGCTCCGGTACTTCATTTGAAACTGAAAATTGTCGTTTTAGTCCATAATTAGTGATTAAGTGGCAATTTACTTACTAGCACAACATAACGCCATTTTTTTATACCACAACCGGCATCAAGTTTTGATGCACGTAAAAAGTGTGGTTATGTAGCTCAATGTGGTGGCTGCCAGATCTCTTGCATTGTTGCCAGACTATCTAAAATATAGATTATATTTTTGATCAACGGGTGTGCGAGTGGACTTGTAGTATGTGAAAATCAGGCAGAGATAAAAGAAATAGAACATTTCAGAAGTGGGGTAAAACCTACGAGGGTAAAACGGATGTAATAACAGAGCGAGTTTTAAGGGATTCGTCATTCCATGTCCCATGCAATTTTTTTCTCGTATTCGTAAAGTAGTCTGCGCCACTGTCGTTTATTGACGAGTCGCTAATGAAATTTTAAATGCCGTTTTTTTTCTCAAATTTATCAGAAGGGCAGATTAATTGAAATCTCATTTAAATTTAGTTTGTTAAAATTCAACAGAAAATATTTAAACACAGCATTTTTGAAAACCTAACCCTCCGACCGGCTCTAACTGTCAAATGTCAAAATCTTCACAGAATCATGGCAGATAACGAAAGGGTAGGTATTTATCACGTGGAAGACTCGCAATTTTTACCCTTACAATCCCCTAATTTCGCAGCTTGTCAAAGCGCTCAAGGACCTACCTTTAAGGATTCAAACTTCCAGTCTAACCTTACGAAGGACCGTGATCGAAGACGTTATCGATGTCCTGGACCATTCCGGTGAGTTGTGCTTCGCCCAACACCAACATTACCAGACTACATTGCAGGAATCAGTGAAATCATCATTAAGGGAATATGCAGGGCGATTCAGTACACTTTACCTAGGTACCATGACGGAATTTCACAGTACCTCGTGCGAAATTTGATAACCTCGCTAATAAGACACCATCCAAAATGGTCAGTGAGAGGGCTACTTACGATGTTGGCAGACGTAGCTGCCGGTTTCAAAACATTAGTTGCCACGTAAGTCTCGTGTTCATATTTGGAGGGGGTGTAAAATTGATATTTCAGACCGAAAATTTCTAAAGTCGCTCTGACGGCCTTACGTTGGTCTTGTCTTGTAGTTATCGACGGATGGAAGAGCAGCGAAGATGTTATTCGGGATGAAATTTCTAACTTAGTGAATAGCCAGTGTGTTTTATATACCTGTATTGCAACAGCGGGCAACAAACGATTAACTTTTAAGGCATATAATAAGGTAACCGGCTTAGTTTCCCATTCGTGTATGTTAATTTTGTTTTAGTTACACATCCTATGGAGCTCCATTCCCAATTTAGAAATTTTGTATATGAACACCTTAATTCAAAGCGAACAAACGTATTTTGTATCAGTTCTTAGCTCTACGTTAATTAAGCATCTGTCCCAGGCTGATCTGAAGGAGTTTGTGGTAATAATCGCATTTAGCTTAAATAGCGCCACATTGTGGGTTGTAGGATAAGAACTTGGATACGTTTATCAAGACGTTGGTGAGTTGCAAAACGAAACCTTTGAATACGGCGATCGAGGCCTGCTATCCCATGTTGAAACGTTTGAATCACGAGCAGTTTAAGTCGACCCTTCTACCTGCACTTCAGAAGGCGATGTTGCGAAATCCGGAAATTATAATCGAGTGTGTCGGATTAATTCTTGCGGGTGTTACAATCGACTTGAGTCAGTATGCTTTGGATGTAAGCAAAGGATTGATAAGTATGCATCCGGTTTTTTGGGGATTTGTGCGCTATCGTTTGGTTCGCAGCTAATTTACATTCAAAGGATGACGTGACTAGGAGAGAGTCGGCGGATGCGTGTAAACTGCTGGCTCAACAATGTAGCGATTCTGGTGCTATTGAATCAGTGGTGAAGCAGATTTTTTCTGTTTTCCATGGATCTGATGGAAAATTAACCGTTCTCGAGCATAAGATTAGTGTTTTGGAAGTAAGTACACGACACGACCTGTGTTTAGGTACAGCAAATATATTTAACTGGTGGACTGTCGAATGATTTAACTTGCAAAAGATCATTGATGCCAAAATCAAACAATTTTAAAACCAGGCTACGTGTTACAATAATTTAAAACTATTTCGCAACTATCTCTTTTGTACTCCTTGACTTTAAAAGATGCTAAAAGGCTCTCTAAATTACAGGCTATATTGTAAACAGTATTAGAAGGCTCTGGAAAAGTTTTCTCTCTAAACTAAATCATAGGTTTTCTATATTTCAGGTCATGCCTATGTTATTCTGTTAAGTTATGTGTACAAAAAATGTATCAAGTTGGCCTCTTTGTCGCTTCTTGGACAAATGAGTGAAACAGATGTTATCTCTAACGAAATTGAGGACAGAAAGATTTTGACATTTCCTGGTTATATTTAGAAGCAGGCAATTGTTTAAATATTTTGTAGTTTACATGATATGAACTTTCCAACAACAAAACGCAAAAATGAATATCTGAAGACTGTTGCAGTAGTGGAATTTATTATTATTTTATAAAAAAATTGTTTGGGCTTGAAGTTGGTATTTTTGAAATGCAACATTGTCAATTTTTTGCATTTTTTTTCTCTGATAACATTGATTCATCACAACATATTTTAAATTTTCGTCATGAAAATCAATAAAAAACCTTCACTTTTACTGTTTTTTAATAGTAGGCAATGGATTCATGGACATTTTGTTTTGTTTATTGTATCCATGGTAACCAAGGCAGCCAATACCAATCAATAAAATTGATGGAAGAAACATGTCATTTCAAAATTCTGAAAAATGTGATATTATTAAGTGTTGCTCAAAATGTAGAAGAGGCGTTACTAATGTATCAAAATACGCAAATAATATTTTATTTATTTTTGTCTGTTACAAATTTAGAATAGATAATATTACATATGTATCCAGAACGACAAAAGGCACATCATGCTACCATCTTCCGTCTAAAATCTAATTTGTTAAATTTTGGCAGCTATTCTAATAGCGTTTTCGATTGGCAAAACTCGTGCTGCACGAGTGCAATTTTTACGTTCTATTGGTAATTTTAGGGCAATTTTCTGTGTTCCATTGGCAAATGTGATGCAACAATTACGCACTCAGTGCAAATTTTGACGCACGAGGTCCGAGAGCTCGTGGAGCTGCTAGCTAACAAATTTTCAAAACAAACGTGCGACAAAATGAATTTGTTTCTTGCGTTGGGAGAGTTTTTTGTCGTCATCTAGCGATAGCGAAGATGATGAACTAGCCGTAACTTCTATTTTACAAAAAGTTGCACTTACTCATTAAACTGAACGCCAAAAATTGGTCCTTTACAGGAATTTCAAATTTATATTCCTCATCGTTTATCATAAATAATACTGAAATCGTTTGTCATTTTTTAGAATAGATATTTGTCGATTACCTAAATCTAAAGTGAGGTTATGGACAAATGACAACAAATATTTACGAATATTTAGGTTCCATCAGGTTCCATTGAGAGCAATTTTCACATGGATTTCTTCAGTTTCTCGTGCAACACTCGTGCAGTACGAGTTTTGCCAATCGAAAACGCTATAAACCTATTCAAAATCATCATGAATGATAGAACGAAGCTGTTGAAATAAATGTTTTAGCTTGTGTGAGAGCAAGGCCCCAAATTTCGTTCAGAGTTTAAAGGTTTTTTGAAAAGACAAATTTAAACCATATAAGGTGAATATTATTCAGGAATTTCAAATTACATTCTAAGGACTTGCATAGGCGCTTGGAATTCTCTAATTGGTACCTAACAAAAACCCGTTAAAATCCAAATTTTGCAAGAAATGTGATATGGTCTGATGAAGCGCATGTAAATATCTGTGGTATAATAAACAGATAGAACACAAGAACCTGTTATCTAGAAAATCAACATATAATTTTCGAACCACAATTACAGGGCCGGTTTGGTTTCAGTGTTTCTTGCCTTATTTTGGACACTAAAATTGTATACACAATTTTTGACAGTGACTTAACTGTCTTCCGATATCTTGAAATAATGAAAAACAAATTGTCAAGAGTTGCTGGAACATGTACCTTTGCCACAGCGAAATTATATATCTTTTCAACAGAATGGGGCGCCTGCTCATAATTCAGTTGGTTACTGAATATTTAAATCCCAATTTTTACAGACGGATTAGCACACACGGACCAATCAGATGGCTGCCGAGGTCGCCGGATTTAAGTGTTTTAGATTTTTTCTATGGTCATATTTAAGATACAAAATATATAGAAATTGGCACAGTAACATAGGCGAACTCGGGGTGCAGGGTTCGCAAATGGTCTCTTTTTTAGACATGGGTCTCTTTTTTCATTATTTCCTGAGATGCTGTTTTTGAAAGCATTTGCAGAATTCTAGGAAAATGTTTGTTTGTTTGAGAAGTTGGTTCAAGTTTCACTGTTTGGTTTGTATTTTATTTTCGCTTATTTGCTAGTGTGGCCTGGTTATTCAGAGGTGATGGGCGTAGGTTTTATTTAATTCTTGATTGATCTAACAACATACAGAAATAGGTTTTTTATAATAAAATAAAACAAAATGGGAACGTGTAAATTTCAAACTGAGTGGTTGAAGAAGCTAGATATTACTGGCAAAGTTGGGGTCGAAAATTTAACGACGAGAAGGTGTTTTGCATGATTTGCAGTAAAACCTTCTCAATTGCTGCGCAAATAAGTATTTTAAGAATGTATCCCATTTTATGTTGTTTTGTTGTTTAAAATGTTATTAAAATTGCAACGTTTATGCAGTTACGTTGTAACGATTACTTTTTTTTTTTAGATATACATGTTACCCATCTATTACAAAATAAATATTTTTTGCTTAATTTCGTATGGAAATTGGTTCTCGAAGGTCTCTAAATGGTGTCTATTTTTAAATATGTAAATAGAGACCAAGTCTCTATTTTTTTGTTAAAATCAGTTGCGAACCCTGGGGGTGTGAACCGAAGAAGCATTACAAAATTGACAAAGGCAACCCTTTATAATTTTAAATACTTTAAAAAGAATTGAAAAGATATGTGCTTTATGAGTCACAGAAAATGGTCGACACTTGGAACAGTATAACTAGTGTTATGTTTTCTAATAATAGTTAGTATTAATAATAATAATAATAATGTTTATTGTTGTTCAATAGACTCATAATCCATATATGAACAATCGCAAAAAAAAGATAAATGAATGGTTAAGCGCATACTGCATTATTAAAACTATAGTAGGAACTAATATTTAAAATAGAAACCATAAAAATCAATATAAATATTGCAGTAAGTAATTGTAACTAGTGAAATAAATAAATACCTTTGACAATTAAATTCTAAACTAAAAATAGAATATTGATAAAAAGAGAATTAACAAAAAAAATAAATAAAGTAAAGAAAATGAAGCAAAAAAAAAAGGATGATGACACGCTTTTAAGATAGAAAGCACAAACCAAAATTACAATTTCCAGTTAACCATAAACAAAGCTTAAAACATTGCATAATGAGTTGTAATGAATGTCACAGTTCTGGCAAATCTTATTATAATTACTGGACATTATTAAGGAGGGAGTTCTGCGAAGGAGATTGGATTTGGGAGTAGGATATGTGAAGGTGTTTAAGTGCCTAGTAGAATGCGTTGGAATGGTAAAGGATAGCTTGTGAAGTAAGTAGGGACAATCTAAATGACTGTTGGTTAGTTTGTAGAGGAACCTAATGCTATTCGCGACTTGTCTCTGTTCCATTAAAATTAAAAAACAAGTTATTTATGGCAATGTTTCAAAAAGGATTGGTTAATTTTAATTTATAAATAACAAAATTTAAATTACCATAATAAAAAAAAGTGATTGTTACTAGCATGTTTGTAGGAATCCATGGCCTACTATTTAAAAACAGTAAAAAATGTTTATATTGATTTTTATTTAAAAATTTAAAAAAATAGATTATGATACATCAACTTAATCAGAAAAAAGAATGCAAAAATTGACGTCAAGATATACACATACAGCATGTTACATTTAAAAAATGCCAACTTTGGGTCAAATCTCAGAAACGGTGGTCCAAAAAAATTCTTTTTACTACGCCACTGGAGGCAGTTTTTACTTTTCCTCTATCTTGCCTCTCCGAACAAAGTCGTCCGCGATTGTTTTGCAAAAAGCAACAAAACTATCTGTTTTGCAGCAAATACGCTCAAATATCGCTGGGTTTTAACGTCCAAAAAATTCGACTCACGTTTTCTAGGTTCCAAAAAGAGCCAGCACCAAACAATCGAACTGCACCTGTGTTTTTTTAGCCACCGATAACACATCCTTATCTTGAACTTTAATTAGCCGACGCTGCGATATCAGTTCTTATAGCAGACCGGAGATAAACTTTAACAATAACTGCGCAAATGTTCCAGATTAATTTAATTTCCAATTGACGAAACCTTAGTTTCTAAAATAATCTCGCAAATAAAGAGTACAGCCATTGGTTCAGATGGAATCAGTATATTGACTATACGTTTATGTGTACCACATATTTTGCCATACTTAACCCATGTACTCAATTACTGTTTAAGGCACAATATTTTTCCATCATCTTGGAAGACATCTATTGTTATACCTATCCCAAAAACTCGTGAGGTAACTGAGCTAAAAGATATACGACCTATTAGCATACTGCCCGCCTTTTTTAAAATACTCGAAAAGTTAATGGTCATTCAACTGCAAGAATATCTTAAAAATTCTATCCTTCCCGAAATACAATCGGCTTTCCATCCTGGTTATAGCTGTAACTGCTTTATTAAAGATTACCGACGATATCCTAACAGCCACAGATGAGGGCAAGTTAACACTCCTAGTCTTGCTAGATTACACAAAAGCTTTCGACACCATTAACCATAGGTTAATGCTAGCAATCTTACATTATATAGGTTTGTCGGACAGCTCAACCGAAATGTTATCCTCATACTTGTCACATAGAAAACAAGCTGTTAAATATCAACATAGATTATCGTCTTTCTTAGATATCACTCACGGCGTCCCCCAAGGCTCCATACTAGGACCAATATTGTTTTGTGTGTATGTGTCGCAGATAGAATCTTTTGTCTTTTGAATTTTGTTTCTATTTTACTTATCTTATTTTTAATATTCAATGTCTAAAATCCATGTTATACCTCTACCTACTAATGATCACAACATTGTCGATTAAGTGGAATCATTATGGGTTAGATGGAAGAGCAGGGGTAGACTTTCTACCCCTGAATCTCGCCCTAGGCAATGTATTTTTCGTGGCTAGCAAAAACAAAATCAAGACCGTTATTATTATTATTATTATTATATTCCTTATCTCACTAACAAAAAATAACGCAATTTTGTATACAAAATTAACAACATTAATAAATAATTCTGCGCCCCTAAATCCTTTATGTTCCACCTCACATTTATTTCGTCACTTTTAATAGGGCGCTGGAAATTTAAGTTACAATTCCGTAACCGGAAGCAATTTACAAAACTTAATCGCGCAAGTAAGTAACGAATTCATCAAAGTTTTGGAAACGGAAGTGCACGAAAAGACCTTATGTTACACATTGGAAATGCTATCGCTTTGGGTGTCGAAGATCAACAATGACGTGCCGAAGAAGCTCATCGACGCCTTAAAGGTGAGTTGATCCGCTCTTATCCGCTTGCGCTTGAATAAGTTTGCCTAGAATGGAATGTCTCTGAAGACTTCGACTGCTTCTGTGAGAATTTCGTACATTCAATGCATGTTGGCGTGTTTCCACTCGAATACGATATCGCAAGCGGAGGTTCTAGTTGGTGTTCTTCAAAAGTCTGTCGATCGTGCCATATCGCAGCCCACGCTAGCGCTTGGGGTTACGGAGGGGCTGTGCGCAACGTATTTCCTGTTAAAAATTATGGAGAGTCAGGGAGATCGAGAGAGCAAACTTTCGAGTGTGTGCTCGATCTTATTTGACATGGACAAGCAGCTGTTTGTTTCGGAAAAATTCTTGGCAACCGCATCGGACGATGGTCAGTTGATGACCTCGTTGTTAATGTTCTACAGTTTTGTTTTAGCATTAATTCAAGTGATGCAACTTTGCGAGCTACTTCTCTTGGAATATCCTGAAAAGTTTAACGGTAAAGCTGCGCCACTGTATCGAGCCGTACTTATTTGTATGACTAGCTCGTCGGCTGTTGTGAGAAAGAAGTGTCTCCCGGCCGTCCAAAGGATTGTGAGCGGCCTAGGAGGCACAACCATCGCGCAGGCGCTTTTGAGGGACTTTTTAAAATTAATTGACAGCAAGGTGTGACCAATTGAGGTGTGCTTATTTAAATAATGGTCAGTTTTAGAATGATCCCGAGCAGAACGCGATCTCTCCCCATGTACTCATTGATTGCATTCAAGTTTTGTGCTCTGGATCGGGAACAGTGGAAGAAGCGACGACCATAGCCCTCGAAGCGCTGCTACCCTGCCACATACAAGCCATTTTTTCCGTTTTACCAAATTTGTGGATTACAATAATGAAACGTTCTAAATTAAATCCCAAAGAGTTCATTAGTCAAAAATTGAACCCTCTCAAAAAGATGTTAGTCGATGATTACGTTGCGACTCCGGTGAGTGATCTCGTGTACTGTTAGAAACTATGTTGAGACCGGTTTTTAGTATTACGAAAATGCACTTGCGACAGTAGTCAAAACCAATGGCAGAGAAATTTTACGGTACTTACTTAGGAGGCTGAAGGAGAAGCTCTACAATCCAAATGTCAGGCAAATTACAAAAGATGAATATTTTACATATTTAACGCCGGAAGGAGAATTGTACGACAAGAGTGTGTTACCCTTACCTGAGTAAGTATTAAATTAACGGCTTATAATGCTGTTTAGAAAATGTCTTGGGGCTGTAATTCAAAACATTAAAAGTCGGAGATATTCAATATATCAATGATAAAGATAAACTAACAACAAAAAAGCATTATTAACAGGTTAGCTGCAAGTTTGCAATTTTCGGTATTTGCGATAAACATTTGCTTAGCGATTCTTCCCTCTTAGATCACGTCAGTTCTAGCTAATTGACAGTTGGCATCCTTCAATTCGAAAGCGAGTATTTGCATTTCATACAGAACACTGTAATTCTTTAATACAATTCACCCAATGCTCGTAACGCGCAAAGAAAAATATATCCAAAAACTACAATGTGGACCTAATTCCGATTAATTCGAACTTACGTACTCCATTAATAAATGGGCTTCGGATTGCGATATAAGTAAAAAAAGATAATTGAATTAACACATATGGCATAACGTAAAAAGAAACGTGTTAACAACTTTACCTCAAGAGGAATACAGGCGCAGCCCATTCGCGTAAAGACGCTTAGATAATTAGTTAAACAATTTTAGCGTGATGACATTTTTCCGAGGGGTAAATCACAGCAGAAATGTACACCAGAATTCCAAAAGTGCAAAATAATTCCAGAATTCCAAATAAATTCCATGAGTTCCAAAAAACTGCAAAAGAATTCCATTGAATTCCAAAAAATTCCATTGAATTCCAGTTACTTCCAAAAAGAATTCCAATGAATTCCAGTGACCTTCAAAAATAAATTATGCTTCTTGCAAAACGTAAGGTACGTCAACACATTCGTATCCATTCGATTATAGTAAAGAGCATGTCTTTGTTATATAATCCGGATCCTACATTATATTATTAGCATAATAAACTTACAACATGCAACCAAATGCAAGTATACGAAACCAAAACCTGTGGCGTTGACAGAAATGCCGATTCCCCTTGCTAGTTTCAAGTGTCAAATACAGCCAGCAGACTACGCATGTAAGCAAGCATATAAGTCGACACGAGTTAATCAAGTAAAAAAACACACTTTCAAAATGTGTTGTACACGAAATTTTTAGCGCAATTTCTAACGAAGTTGGGTGCGCTATTGCAGCCACTTTCTCTGTCCGTCCGTCTGTCCAAGGCCCTAACTACTACAGTTTTCAAGATATTTAGTTCGTTCTTTTGCATTTGGTAGCGTATAGCTCTGGCACTTGAGCCAACGAAAATCTTGATGAATCTGCGCATACGCAGGCTGGGCAATGTCAATTTTCTTATTTATAGAGATATTTCTTTGAAATTTTACCTAAAGATGCTTTTAGGAAAAGCAAACGTATCGCATATTGTAAACATCAAATTAATGTGCGCATGCGCATGATGCGCAATATCAACTGTCTTATTTATCGAGATATTTTCGAGGATACCTTTTTGATATTTTTATCACAGATGGTTCTGTCGTTAAAGGCAAACATATCTGATATTGCAAACATTAGATGTGTGCATGCGCAGTCAGTGTGAACTTCCTTATTTATGAAGATATTTCTTTGACATTTTAACCACATATATGCCTATAATAGTACAAGAAAAACATAGCGCACATAGCTATGGCCTTTTGGGAAGTACTGGTCAATTCATGAAAAATGCCCTGAAGTTACTCGCCTTATAGTCCGGGCGAGAAATTCAGTAAAGCGCATTGTAATGCTTCTAACGGCAAATCGTGAGACAAAGAATTTTAATGTGTTTTCAGGGTAATTGGACACTGCTGAATCCGATTTTGCCTGTCACCACCTCGAATTCCGGCTGGTAAGGCCTCAAATCAAGATGGCGGTCAAAATGGCGACTGAAGCTTATTTTAAACATTTTTAACAAGAATGTCATCATGATTTTTATGTAACACATATATTTTTCCACTTATTACTATTTTATGAAAAATTTTAAAGTCAAGAAAAATTAAGATGGCGGCTGAAATGGCGCTCCAAATTTTGAGTTTTGTAATATTCTTGATTTAGTTTACCTTAAGTGAACAAAAGAATTATAATTGGCCCGCAAAGTGCCTGCTTAAGTGAAAAGGAAATACAATAAATATTTACACTTTTTCAAAAATGGCGGACAAGATGTCGGAGACAGTATGTCGCTTAGTTTGACTCAAGGTGGATTATGTCGCCGTGCTGGAAGGTCCTTAGGTAATTGCGCGCGTGTTTTAAATCCTGTGTAAACAATATTTGGCGTTTTATTTGTATAATTAAACTATTAATATATCTCAACATATTTCGATAATTTGCTATTAAAATATCATAAAGTCATAAAAATACCGGCATTTTGGGAACCATTTTCATTTATCTTTGTCGCAAATTATTATTATTAACAATGGTGAGTAGACAAACTCATTTTAACCTAGCTGTACCACCCCCATATAAAAAAATGCAAATCTTTTCTTCGCAATTAAAGAAATTAGTTAGGTAACACAAGATTCTACCGCCATTTTGACCACCATCTTGATTTTTTTCGGCTACACATTTTTTTATAAAATAGTAATAAATAATAAAACGTATGCAGGTACTAGATAAAAATCATGATAATATTTTTGTTTACGACAAGAAAAGGATCTTACAGTGACTTTTGGGCGCCATCTTGATTTGGGACTTTAGCAGCCGGATTTTGAGGTGGTGACAGGAAAAATCGGGTTCAGCAGAGTCTAATTACCCTAAAAACACCTGTCACCAAAATGTCTCAAGATTTGCCGTTAGAAGTTAAGATCTCAAAATTGTCGCCCGGACTATTAAGGCGAAAACCTTTTTATGGTAAGCGAGGAGAAAAGTTTACTTTTATGACTGTGAAGGTCAGTGGCGCAATATTTTAGTTAATTTTGAGTCCTAATGTTTGAACGTGACGTGAGAGCTGAGTATTTCTTTATGATAAGTAAAAATAAATGAACAGTTACCCTTCAGACTCTAAGACTATAATCTACAAACCAAAAATCTATGAATTGCAGATAATTATATCAACATCAATAACATCAGTACAAAGTAAGCAACAACCTAAACCATAGCTTGTAAAAATATTTAGGAATCCCTGAGAATTCCAAATGAATTCAATAAAAATTACAAGTTAATTCCCAAAGATTTCCGTGAATTCCAAAAGAATTCCATGTATTACACAAGAATTCCATCAGAATTCACGTGAATTCCATATGAATTCCAAGAGGTTGTACACCAGAATTACCACCAAAGCAAAAGTAAAGGTCATGTCAATGCCAATGGTACCCACACAACACCAGAGTACATTCTACGGAACGTTACAAGTCATTTACATTCAACTGAATGTTGACTTGCAATTTTCAGTTAACGCAATTGGAATGCTCGTCCAATTGATCTATCAAAACTCGCGAAACTTCCCTGACAAATAACACAGTTCTCCTACTGAAACTACCCACACGACACACTTCCGTTACACATTTTTCAATATCTGGTATTTATTAACGAGCTCCTAGAGATTTTATAATTTTCCCGTGTCTGTCTGTCCGTCCGTTGCTGCATGTAAATAGTGTGTAAAAGTTTTTTCGGAACAATAAAGTGGAACAGTGACCAAATAATAAAGTTTTTAAATTTGTATGAGAAATATGAGGTACTTTGGGATATAACAAAAGAAGACCACATGAATAAGCCAATACGGAACAATTAGTTTCGAACAACTACTAAGAGAAATGAAAGAAACAGAAAACATTCCGTGTACTGATATTAGTTCAGGCAAATTGAACTTTATAAAAACGAAAATTGTTAATGACTCCAAGTGGATATGTTAAAATGGTCTATAACAAATACAAAAAAAATAAATACGTAAGCAGGGAAGTGGGACTAAGTTTTTGGGGAGGGTGAAAAGGGGTGAAAATTTATTATAAATTTAACGGTCATTCCGCTTTCAAAAATTCTAGTATAGTATATTTCAGTAGCGTTGGGCAAAAAAATCGATCAATCGATTATAATCAAATGATAATCGATAATCGGGTTTGATTGTTTTTTTAAATTAATCGATTATTTGATTAATCAAATGCTTGATTAACCGATTATTTGATTAATCTATTCAAACCTCTAATCGCCCACCCCTAATCGTCAGAACGTGTTTTTAGTGAGGGAGGCTCCATTGTAACTGATAATAGGGCTGGCCTTACTCCAGATCATGCAGAACAATTAATTTTTATCGCATGTAATTCAGTTTACGTTACATAGATTGCCTAATAAAAAGTGTATTCAATAAACAATATATTTTTATGGTACATTATAAACAAAATGAGCTTTTTATTTTACCAAATCGTAGTCGTAAGACATGAATGCCGAGACGAATGCAATAAGTGCATAATGGTAGGTATTACATATAAGATAAACTTAAAAAAAATTAACCAAAAACAAATAATAAATCATCATCATTATAAACAGTGACAGATGTAGACAATTTACTGTTCAGTTACAATGAATAAATAAAAAATTATTTAAAGCACTAGAAGTGTATTGAACTCAAGGTACACACTACCCAAACTAACATAAGTTTTGACAAATAAATCAAACTTTCAAGTAATTAAGACCTATTCATTAAAACTATCCCACACCTAAACGTACAGTAAGCAGCCTAATGATTTACTGTTAGGTGATTATTGATTAATCGATTTGCCTATTTGGACGATTTGATGAAGAGAATTATTAAGTAATGAACGTATTGCAGAGAACAAACAGATATTTCATTACTCCTTGTGTGTGACAATTGATTATATGGTTAATCTTAATCGCTTATTTGGCAATAGAATATTTGATTAATTGATTACTTAATTAACCGATCATTTGATTAATCGATTATTTGATTATTCGATTAATCGATTATTTGATTAATTAAGTGCTTTATTAATCGATTATTTGATTAATCGTTTAATCGGTATGCTCGATTTTTGTTTTTGACAGATTTCCAAAATTAAACAAATTATCAACATTTATACTAGAAAATTCAATGTTACTGAAGTCGTTTTTTGAGCTTTTCGTTTCTTGAATTTCTTCTTCAATGGGGATTATAATTTTTGTATTTCATCAAAAAGTACCTATAAATAAAAACAAAGAAAATGATACCAAATAGAACTCCCTACGAAAAATCTCTGAAGGACAATTTTCATTTGAAGAAAAAAGTATTTCAACCAAGTCTCGTTAAAAGAAAATCATTTTTTCGGAAATGAACAATAAAAAACAAAAAACACGGTTTTCCGCGATTTTTCGGATATTTTGAGGTTATGTGAGAAAGTGACTGAAAAGAAAGGTGTACAGCTTTCACGATCTACAACATTTCCATTGAACACTTTTGTCTCTGGTCTCACCCTTTGCCGGAAATTGCAGTCATACGACCCCCTTTTCATCGTTTTCAAAAACTTAGTCCCCATCCCCTGCTCACGTTTTTATTTATTTTTTTTGTATTTGTTATAGACCATTGTAACATATGCACTTGACAAAGCTCCATTAACAATTTCCTTTTGTAAAAAGTTCAATTTGTCTCCACTAATATCAGTCCAACGAATGTTTTCTGTTTCCGGTTCTTCTTTTAATACTTTATTATTTGACCACTGTTCCACTCAGTGGCGCACTGGGCGCGATCAAAGTTTGCCGCCCTATATTTTAGAAGCTAGTGAATGTTTTGAGTTCCCTATCGTTTATTAAAAAAAGAGTTCTAATTTCTTATTCTATTCTGGATTTGAGTACTTTTAGAGCGAGCAATTGTTTAGGGGAAGGGGGGAGGGTGCCTCACCTCTTGACATTCTATGTATAAGCTTTCGTTTGATACCTGTATGATCCATGTAGCAGATGAACAACACACACTACAATAAAGACAGACAGACAGAAAACAGCGTACCAATTTTTTTCATTTTTTTTGAAATGCGGTAAAAAGGATATACCCAACACTGCTTTTGAAGTCGAACCTAGAAACCCAAGAATTTCAAAGACGATAATGATATTTGAATTGCTTGATAGACTTTGTTAAAAAGATTCCGAGTACATTGAGAACAGAAGCTTAAACTTTTGTATGTATACCAGAAGTCTCTTCGTCATGTATTTTCGCTCCATCGTTGTTGCGTACGAAATCAAAATTTAAATGTATTTTCACAAGGGTTTTTTCGTTTCCTACTTTTAGCTATTTTCAAAAACGCCCCGGGATATTACTGGCAGGGATGATACTGCCGCCCCTACTGAAGTGGCGCCCGGGGCGGACCGCCTCTTCGCCCCCTCCCCTACGCTACGCCACTGGTTCCACTAAACGCTACTAAAGTAGCCAGGTCCTCAACTTCACTTGCCGCTTGCGGGCATGTACCACTTTCCGCTCATTTACACTTGGCAAGTTTACTGGCCGAAAGTACTATCTGCCAGTAAACTTACCAAATGTAAATTAGGCTTAATACAGAAACTGTGACAATTGCACATGTTTCTCAATGTTTGGATGTTCAAAGCTTATGGTAACCAAACGAATTTTAGAGATCAAAAGGATGAAGCGTCAAATATGAAACGTGAAAGTAAAGCATACAGCTACAAGGAGCAATTGGAAGAAATGCAATTAAGACGAGAATTGGAGGAGAAAAAACGAAGGGAAGGTAAAATAAAAGTTCCGCAATACTCGGCCAAGCAATTGGAGGTGATAAAGAATCAAAAAATTAAGGAACAAGGTATAAGAGAAAAGTTGACTGAGGTAAGTGCAAATTTTTGTGTTAAAATTAACTGTCACTTGCCAATTGTAGTTAAACACGGTCATTACTAACTACGTCTCTATGATAAGAGCCGCGAGCAATGGGAATCCGATTGAATTTTCATTATATTCGAAAGATTTGCTGCCCTTAATTCTTCAAAATATGCATTCGCCGTTATCAGCGCCGCATTTAACGAAGCTCTATGTCGATTTACACGAGGTGTTCTTTAAGAAGGACTTGAGCGGTTTAGGAGACTTAGTCGCACATGTAACTTTAAGACTGATAAAACCCCATTGTGATTTGGACGAGTCGTGGGAACAAGAAGATCTGCCCAAAGCTGCGTCTAGAGCGATAACTTTAATATACGATCACTCGATGAAAAAGACTGACGGAAAAAATCCAGCAACGCCCCACCATCACTTTACTGCCCCCGCCTTTACCTACTCGTTCCAGCTAATTAAGCTAATGCTACTTTCGGCGCAGGCCCCCAAAGACGAGGGCCTGATTCACATTTCCCTCCAAATAATCTCGGAACATTCGAAATTGCGCCACAACGTCAAGGAGGGCGCCATAAATTTGTACGATCCCAGATACCTACCACGACAGCAAATGTTCGAGCTCCTTATCGAGCTGATTAGTAAGTATCGTGTCATCGACAAGCGCCGTTAAAGCTATCAAATTTCCAGAAGTCACAGGTAATTCGTTGCAGGCTCCACATCCGGACGTATTCAATCTCAGGCAGTCACCTGCCTTTTAGACGTGGCAATTTCGGCTAGCGGCGCCAAGAATTGCAGCAAGGCGAGTGTGCAGGAGCTCGAAGTTCTGCTGACCGCCTTGCAAAATCCTAAGGACGTCGTTCGAGATTCCGCACTACGAGGTCTCGCCTACATGATACAGTCGATACCGACCTTCGACGAAAGTTATGATCTCGCTTTGAAGATCAACAAGCGAGTTTGGATCGCCCGATTTGATAGTAGTGAGGAAAACAAGTAAGCGGATTACCTTTAGTGGTGCCGTTTGTATGGTTTTTGTAGGGACCTAGCTGATAAGTTGTGGGATGACGGAAAAATGTCGTTTCCTAGCATGCTGAGCGAAGAGTTAATGGCCGACATTGAGCATCCAGTGGAGTGCGTTCAGTCATCCGCCGCCAAAGCGTTGGCGGCGCTTATTAAAGATGACGAGAGTCAAGTGCAACCCATCGTCGAGACATTGCTGCTCTTATATAAGAATACGCTTAAGGTGTACTCATTGCGTTCCTCCATTTTGTTTCTGACCTTTGATTGTAGATGGCGCCGGCGAAGGTTGACGAATTTGGCAGGGAGCTCGAGAAACCGATCGATAATTGGGGTCCTCGTCGAGGCGTCGGATTGGCGCTTGCCGGATTGGCTCCGTTTGTTGATTCAGCTACCATCAGCAAACTAATACAGTTCTTTGTACCTACGGCACTGAGCGATCGTAGTGAGGAAGTTCGCAAGGAGATGCTGACCGCCGCTTTGGCCATTGTCGACTTGCATGGAAAGGTACCTATGGATATTGAATTTGTATTTACTGTCACTTTGTGTCGATTAATCAGGGTATTGCAGGATCTTAGTGCTTTTCAGAATTTCTTAACACCTTACCATATCATTCTTACGCAAAATTATTTAAGCCCTTCCACAGTTTTCTTTCATGGGTCCCCAATCTGGAAAAGCCTTAGAACGTTCTATACTGCATTCATTATAAGAAGGTAGCAGATGGCGCTGTGCTTGAAGATAGGCACACACAGGAAAAATATAAAACAGCGCAAAATTTGAAAAATATAAATATAAATCAAACGATATCACGCTTGAATCTTTGAAATTGACAGCTAATGACAGTTCGACGGTTTAGTTCGTAACCGCACTTCTAACAAACAGGATTCGTCACTTGTTTTATTTTTCAGGTTAATACTGACTTATGTTTTATCCAATCACAGTGAAGGTCAAACTGTCCCTATGCTTTCTACCGCTGCCTTCTTAAAATGAATAGAATATAGAATAGCTTTTGAAAACAGCAGAAGAAGGCTATGGAAGAGTCTCTTAAGTGTCTTTCCATCCCTTACAAGTGCTTTCCTAAACATTCAAAGCCTTTCTGGAAGTCGCTGGGAATTTTAAAACCTTCGGACCTCTGGAAACCACCCAAAGAGTAAGGAAGGTGTCTTAAATCCTTTCCAGAGCCTTATAAGTATTTTCCAGAACAGTTTTCTAAATCATTCTTTCGTCTTTCCAAAATTGCGTACTCCCTTTCCAAAGATTTTCAGGTCTTTTAAAAAGGGTTTTTGCTTTTCCCTGGACTCTAGCTTCTTTCCAAAGCCTGGAAAGTGCCTTAAAAGCACTGGAAATGATCAAATACTCTGGGAAGCCAGGGAAAGCATCATTAAAGGCTTGCCGAAGCATCCAAATGGTCTCGGCTTCAGTTTTCTTTTCCTTGTTCCTTGTTGGCGGCCATCTTAAATCACCAAAAGGTTGCAGCAGGAACGCCACAACAGAGTACCACACTCAACTCAGACTTACGCGAGTTTACTGAATGACGCGAGAGACCTCAAACTAACACCACCTGGCAGCACTACTCATAATTACAAAGCGTGCACGCGCAACTGGTCGTTTCCGCCTATGATTGGGTCCCCCTCGTATCATATCAATACAGGGTGCCCATTATGTATGGAATATAGTGTACAGTGTGTCCCAGATCGCGTGGGATTGCACGGGTAACTTTCTTATTATTAAAGATAGAGAACTGGTTAAATGGGCATTGTTTTGCAGTTTTGCAGAGATGCTGTTTTCGCGAGCTTGTTTAGGCATCATTTAGCTACTTTTTCATGAAAAAAAATCGGACCAATGCATTTAATTTTTTTCAGAAAATTAACCATTTCTGTTGGAATGTAGCGTGGTCAAAGTACACATATAGCTTCACAAAAAATGAAAACCTCTTGAAATTTCAAATTTGAGTATTCAAAAGGGTTGTGCTTAATATGAAAAATTCTTTACGAAGATAGGTATGCAATTTTCCGGAAAATCGTCGAGTGAAAAATTTTGTTTTCGTTTTTTCACTCCAATTGTTTAAATATTAAATATACGGAAAAAAGTTTCAATTAAAATTTGTAGCTGATGCATTTATCGACAAAATTTGTCGGAAAAGTTTTTCTGTAAATTGACAAGTGTACGAGATATAATTGATTTCAGCGGAAGTTGATTCGTGAGTGCGCGCGAACGTCCCGTGAGCCAAAGTTAATAATTTGAAGATTGTGATGCACTGAAAAAACTGACAAAGTTAATATATTTCAATGAAACTTTATCTGTAAATACTTTGAAGTATATACTTTCAAAACTTAATAGGTACAGTTTTTCTGTAAATAGCAAATTTTTTAAATAATAGACAATTATTTATATTAGACGTCTTTTAGAAAATCTAACATAACTTTTTTCAGTGCTAATTTAGAAAAAAATAACGTAGATATTGACGAAGATGAAGATAATGATCACTTCGACGATCAAACAATTATAAATGTTGATAATCAAGACACTCAAGGTTCACATTTTGAGGATAACTTCAGTGAAGATGAAAATGATATTGAGTTATATTTGAGCTCGGAAGACGAATGATACTGATTGATTTTGATATGATTAATAAATGAAAACTCTACGTTTCTACGTGTCATTGTTTATTTACAATCTTAAAATTAAAAACTTGAAAATTGATGATGTTTAAAAATACTCTTAGGAAAATTTGGTATATTTCGAAAACTAATGAAGATATCAGAAAACTTTTCAGACAAATTTTGTAGGTAAATGCATTGGCTATAATTTTTGATTTGAACATTTTTCTGTATTTTCATTATTTAAACAATTAAAGTGAAAAAACAAATACCAAACTTTTCGACGAAAGTTCTTCCAGGAAAATTGCTTACCTAAATTGGTAAAGATTTTCTCATATTAAGCACAATCCTTTTAACTACCTAAATTTGAATTTCCAAAAGGTTTTTATTTTTTGCTGCATTTTACGGATATTTTGTGTACTTTGACCAGGCTAATGTCGAAAAAAGCCCTCAAGGGATGATGTGTGAAACTAACAAAACTTTAAATAATATAATATTTGTAGCTGAAGAATAGCTCTAACTAGAACTAGAACTAACCCGACTTTGTTAAAAAATCGGCTCAGCCGTTTCGAAGATACAGGGTGTTCTTTACGGAAACCTTTGAATACCCCCCACCACTTCATTTTTAGAGATACAGGAAAAATTGTCAAACAAAAATTGTTCAGATTATCGTCGACTTCAAAGACCGGACATTTTTTGTTAGGTTAATATAGCGGAATTCACAGAAACTTCACTTTTTTAGATTCCAGTTTGCAGTTACGCCCCCTAGCGGTCATTTCAGAAACTTAAAAATATTTTTCAGGTTTTGCTCGTGGCCGTTTTAGTAATAAATTTTTTTACGGTAAGCCTCTACGATGGATAGATTCTCAGATACAGTACCTCGCATTCTTAGTTGGCCACCCTGTACATTAAAGAATAAATAAACACGTTGCCTAAAGTAAACTGTCTTGAGGTGTGTTTTACTAATAATGGCCACTATTTTTAACATCTGATGTAATTATTTTCATTGTTTTGTTGTCTCGAATAGATTTTGTTTTGTTTTTTTGAAATTCATCACAGACTACTTGATTAAAATATAATAGCCGTTGATATAACTGGTATCTTATTTTCAATCTTATGTTATTATGATAGCTCGTTGAAAAGAGAATTAAAAAATTTAATCTAAAAATCCAATATGGCGTCTATTTAACTTTAGGAAGTTGGTAAATGTTCCTCAAAAGTAGTCATTTTGAATTTTTTTTTACATCAATTGAATTTGAATCATTTTAAAGATTTTTTTTCGATTACGTATCATTTAGGGTGGAATTCACTTTACTAAGTGCACACTTAGTTTAGTTTAAGTGGAACTTATATTTACTGCTAGTATTCCTGCTTAACTGTCCGTGTTTCGCGCGTTACTATAACAATAATCGCATGCGTTACCTTAGCATAATAATAATAATAATAATAATAATGATTCTTTATTAAGCAAAAATAAAACATAAGAAAAAGAAATAACAATTTCAAATTTAAAGAAAAATTGCTTAAAAGGTGGGAGATTGGCCAAAGGCCGTTTTTCACTCCTACCATCGGTACATTAAGCGATGTGAATTCATAATCCACAAAGAAAACAAAAATAATAAGACAACAATAAGACAGAAGTAAGGTAAAGAAAATTAGAAATAAAGAAATCAAAAAATTAAATGGCCCTATTGACATTTGTTTCTCTGGAAACTTTGAAGTTCTGTACGTAACATGCTTTTGAAATTATTAACACTTTTGCAGTTGGTATAATAATTAAAATAATTGTTTAAAATCTTGCATGACAAATATGAAAAGCAATTTTCAGGAAGACTTATGTTCCATGAGTGAGTAATACTCATTATCCCTTAAAGATTTACTGTGTAAACTATTACGTTTTTTGAGAACTGTATAAAGGTAGAATGGTTCACAAGAATTAACAATATGAAATAGCAATGCAGCATACAATAACATAAATTGGTTTTCGCATTTTAACAATTTAAGTTCATTATAAATGGATGTAATGTGTTCTGCAAATGGAAAATTGCATATCTACCACTAAGTATATGAGTAAAGTGTAAGTCTAACAATATCTATGAATTTCACCCTGAGTTAGTTAGTTAGTACCCTGGTCCCTGATACAAAAAAATTAATATTACATCAGTAACATGAATCTAGATATCCTACATCAAAATAAAACAAATGAACGTGTACATTCATTTCAAGCTTTTAGTGATAAGTTAGTTCACTCATTTTATTGCTAATTTCATTTTGTTTTCAAGGTTTAACACGTTTATTTGTTTTATTTTGATGTAGGATATCTAGATTAATGTTATTGATATATTGATAATTGATGAATTATAATAAATTTTTTTGAAAAATTTTTGTGTGTTAAGGTACTAACATGTTACATCATCGAAAAGAGAAAAAATCTATCCAATGAGCCTAATGAAAAGGTGTAGTGCCATTTAAAAAAATTCAATTGTTTTTCGTTACTCATTTGTTTGCTGAAATAAAAACAACTGAATGCTGCCTTATTATGGGAAATAAAATGTTAAACAGCTTTCATACACAAGAATCATATCGTTCGTGAACTCTGACCGATAAATATTGTCTCAGTGCTCTCAAAAATCATGAAGAAATATATTCACAAACAAAAATAGAATCTTGAACGAACAACAATCAGGTTTCAAGATACACCACAGTTCAATTTCAGCCCTACTGAAAATAGCAAACGATTTTTCATGTTCCTTCGATAAGCGAGAGGCCGTTTTCTTAGTGTGCTTGGACATCAGTAAGGCTTTTGACACTGAATCACGATCTACTTGTAGCCTGTCCTGTCCTATTATGCTTGCTCTGGGAGCGTTACTAGTTGGTTTCGCAATTACTTGACAACAGAAAGCAATGTTGCAAGTCGCATGATACGTACTCACTGTTTATAGGCCCGCGAATAAGGGCATCCCGCAAGGGACAATGTTAGGTCCAATACTGTTTCTGATTTATGCGAACGATATCACAAAACAAATTTCTGGGGATCATAATAATAATAATAATTAATAAATAATTTATTGCCCCTACAGATTACAAAATCCAAATTACAGGACAATTTAATTCAAAATTAAAGTGGTGTCAAAATTTTTAGAAGTAAATGACAATAAATATCAAGGATATAACACGTAAGAAAAAAAAAACAAGAAAAATTATACAATAATAATAATACTTAATGGAAATTAACTAAATAAACATTCCTAAGCCAAAAATCAAATTACCAATTTCTGCTAGGACGTCGCATAGAGGACTATGATGAATATCAATAATGTTTCGATAAACTAATAAAAATTCTAAAATGGTAGGGTAATAAAAAGGCGAATTTATTAACATATTAGTAATGCGGAGTAGATATGGTAAAAAGTTACAGTATTTCTCGAGAACGAAGGATGGTACATGAAAGTTAATAAGTGAAAGTAAATAAGGACAATCAAAAGTTAAATTATGTAATAAATTGTACAAAAAAAGAGATACCAAATTTTCACAACGTCTGCGTTCTAGGGATTTAAGGAAAAAACGTGAAAGCAAACGTTGTTGGCTATAACGCTCGTGGGGGATACTGATGAATCAATTCTAAATAAAAATAATGATTTTAAGAATTTGCGTTGTACAATTCACGCTTATCTTTCTGGTATTTTTTTACAATGGGGATTCCACCACTATAGCACAATATTCCAGTCTCCGAGCGAAACTAAAGAATTAGTAATAAGGTCTTCCAACGTTGTTTAATATTGGTGAAAAGATTTACAAATTTCTTAAAATAAAACCAAGGGTCGGAGATGGCTTGTTTAGCGTGTATTATCAATGTGTTTTGAAAAAATGTAGACCAGCATCGAAAGGTTACACCTAAATCCTTAAATACTATTTGTTTTAAACCAGTGTAGCAGTAATTAATGTTGTATTCAAAGTCAATGGGCGTGAACCTTACGGAGTGGTGACTAACTGTACATTTATTGATGTTTAATGTAACCTATTTAAATCACACCAACTCACTAAGAATGTCCAGTTGACGTTGAAGGTGCACCACAGTCCGTTATATAGTTTGCAATAGTAGAAAAGATTTTAAAAATCGTCAGCAAACAGTAAACTACCACAATTAGTAATTTTTTCCGGCAAATCATTAATAAAAATTAAAAATAAGAGAGGTCCCAAATTGGACCCCTGAGGTACTCCAGAAGTGGCAGTTATATAAGACGAAACGAAATTGTTATAGTAAGTTATCTGTTGGTATCGATTTTGCAAATAGCTCTTAAACAGAAGTTGTAAAGAAACATCAAAACCAAAGTTATCTAATTTTGCTAAGATAATGTCATGAGCAATTGAATCAAAAGCCTTGGCAAAATCAGTGTAGATACAATCTACCTACCCACGATTGTCAAGTACAGTCTCTATAAATTGGGTAATGCAGGTCAGGTTAGTGGCCGTGGATCTGTGCTTCATGAACCCATGTTGAGCTGGAGAGATAAATCTTATCACAGATGGATAAATTCTACCGTACAACACTTTCTCATACACCTTGGCGAAGTTATTTAATATACTTATCGGCCTATAGTTCATTACATCACTGGGATCGCCACTTTTCAATATAGGGCAAATATTAGCAAACTTCCAGATAGAAGGAAATTTGTTGCTATTAAGTGATGCATTGAATATATACACAAGAGGTTCCGAAAACACACTACCACAGTCTCTAATTAAAAAGGCCGGAATATGGTCACAACCAGCTGTGGACGTGTCCTTTAAACTTCTTATAGCCCGTATAACTTCATCATTTGTGATATCCTTAACCCTAATATTAGGTACATATTTATGTGTATAGTATTGGGATACATCTGAGGGGCTTGTAGGCTTATACACTACTGAAATATTCGGCAAAAATGTTTACAATCGATTGTGGATCCGTAACTTCATTGTGCAGGTACTTCACTTTACCCGGAATTCTAGAGTAACCACGTTTGG